AAAAATATAGAAAGTGCTGGGTTTAAGAGAAGGCTCTTTGACATAAGTGTAAAGGTATGGTGGCAACTTACCATTCCTTAGGGCTTCTTGCTGGCTGGGTGCATGCCTTTTTTCTTTTTGGTGCTGTCATGAATAGGAACTGCAAAGGAGAGTCTGGCTTGCTTGGAGAGCAAGGAAAGGGCTAAGCTAATTTGGAGATACACCCGAGGGAGGGGGCTTTGGGCATTCAGCCAATGAAATGCAGATGAAGTATTTCAAATGAGAGAGGTTTCCTCCCTCCCCCTTAGTTTTGGAGCAAGCAGCAGTTTTTCCCAGGTAGCAAGAGAGATGGACTTTCCCAGGAACAGACTTCTTAAAATGTGTAAGTAGAGAAAAGTTGAGAGAGTCAGGTTTTTGTTGTTTTCCTTGTTTGGGGGTTTGGAAATAATGTCTGAGGCGATTAATTGTTTTTCTCTGTTCTTTTGTAAGGATTACAGCCCAGGGATTCTCCTTGGGTGTGTCTACATTGGCATTCCTTTTCCGGAAAAGGGATGCCAATGAGACACTTCGGAATTGCCAGTCTAGACGCGATTTTCCAGAAAATAAGCCCTTTTCCTACTTTCAAGTAGGAATAAGGGATTCTCCAGAAAAGGGCTTATTTTCCGGAAAATCGCGTCTAGACTGGCGCTTTTCTCCGGCATATCCCCAAGCCGGAAAAAAGCGGCAGCCATGTAAATGCAAATGCTGTGGGGGATATTTAAATCCTCCACGGATTTGCAATTCCGAAGGGGCAAGGTGTTGTGTACAAGGACTTCTAGATAGCCACACAAGGCTGTCTGGAGGGACATCCCATCACACTAAGAAATTTAAAAAATGTCAAGGTGTGATGTGATAACTTACATATATTAAGATTCAAGGCCAGGCTTGCCTTAAGCAGACTTCCTTGTTAGGTGTTCACAACCACAACATCCAAACATGTATAAGACTTATAGTTGAGAGAGCCATGTTAATCCCAAGTCTGTTACGACTGGGAGATGTGGGTGACCTATAGAAAACACCAGCATTTTCTTTGGAAAATCCACAACAAAATGTGGGGGGATCTATCACCTCAGTAATGCCAACTCCTTTAGATTTAGGCTCTGATTATCTAGCACCAGCTGAGGTAGAGTGGGCACTGTGTGCTGATATATTTTTACCAAAACTCCTGCCTACGCAACTCGCCAAAGGAGAAAGGAAACAGAGAGGCCAAAAGGAATGGTACAGAGCAGGGTTTCTCAACCTTTTTTTTAGAAGCTTTAGATCCGTGGTCCCCAACATGGTGCCCGCGGGCGCCATGGCGCCCACGGGGGCATTTGCATGCGCCCGCCAGGTGCTTGGGGCTGGCCTGGCCCCGGGCACATGGCGCGGCGCTTGTGGGGGGAGCGCCGGCCCTGGGCGCTTGTGGGGGGAGCACCAGCCCTGGGCACTTGTGGAGGGAGTGGGGGGAGCGCCGGCCCTGGGCGCTTGTGGGGGGAGCACCAGCCCTGGGCACTTGTGGAGGGAGTGGGGGGAGCGCCGGCCCTGGGCGCTTGTGGGGGGAGCACCAGCCCTGGGCACTTGTGGAGGGAGTGGGGGGAGCGCCGGCCCTGGGCGCTTGTGGGGGGAGCACCAGCCCTGGGCACTTGTGGAGGGAGTGGGGGGAGCGCCGGCCCTGGGCGCTTGTGGGAGGAATGAGGGGAGCGCCGGCCCCGGGCGCGCGGCGGTTGCGGGGGGAGCGCCGGCTATGTACGTAACCCGAGGACTGCCTGTATTTGAAGAAAAAGCAAGCAAGTGAGCCTGGGTAGCCTGCCTTCTGGGAATAACAGGAAGGCTCCCTGCTTGTCTCGCCCCACCCACATGCTGCTAAAAAATGTGGCTACCGGGCCATTTTTCCTTAAAAAATGTGAGCCCAGAGGGGAGGTGGGGGAAGCTTTAGGAGATGCTTCCAGCCCCAGCACAGTCCCATTGGCCGGTTTCTGGGGAGCTGCCTGTTTCAATAACAGGCAGCCACGAAGCACAAAGGAATCCAGAGCACATGGCTGCAGCCTGTGAAGGGGTGGGGCACGGCAGGCAGCAGTTTTCCCTCTAAGCGGCCTGGCAACAAAACTTCACAGCCCCTCCCACTCTTCATAATCTCACTTTTGGATACCTAGTGTCCAGCTTGAGCAGGAACATCTACACTGCTGTTTTTAGTAGCGTTGTAAGCGAGTAGTCGACCCCAGCCAATCACCTATGATGACAAAATGAGTGCAGGAGGAGGTGGAGGTGTAAGGTCTGGGTTAGAGGAAGGGTGCAGGAATGGGCTGAGGGTACTGGTCTGGGCGGGTGGGTGTCTGGGCTGGAGGGAGGGTATGCAGCAGCACACAGAGTCACTTCCTTCTCCCTACCCCTAGCAAGCCAGATTCAGCCTACAAGGCTCAGGGCTCCCCACTCCCTTGCTGCAGGGAGCCCATGCTGGTGCTTTAGCCAAGCAGGGACGGGCTGGAGCACCAGTGTTCCAAGCCTGTGGCCCACCTGCAAGACAGTTACTGACCACTAGTGGTCCTCAGACCACACTTTGAGAACTACTGCTCTACGGTCTTCAATACATGATGAAAATGATTATTTTCTCACTTAATAAACAAATAGTTAAATCTTTACCGAAGAGTTAAATCTTTATGTTCAGTGGCTTCTTTGTTCAAGTCAAATGCATAGCATCTGTAGACACCTCAGTTATCTTTTTTGAACTCTTTTTCAAAAATTATAGTTCCTGCCAATGTTCCCCTCTAATCTTTTCCATCCATATGCTGATATTTTTCATCCATATGCGGAATGAATTTTATATGCATTGAGACGTAAACTTGTTTCTGTTGGTGGTGCACCAAGTCTAGCTGCAGGCACTCTGTTAATCAGCAAGGTGGCATAACTCAGCTAAATACATTCTACTCAACCATGTCTGACTGCTGTTCCCAAAAAGTAACTGAATATGTGCCTTCTGGGTCAATTTCAGTTTGATCAACTTACAGTTAATACACCTGTCTCTGATTAAAGATGCTCCACAGCAGCTCACAAGGACCTGAGATTTTCATATTTTTATTGGTTTGCAAAGGAGGCCTTATATACAATTGGGGAAATGTTAGTCCAAGCAGAAAGACGGAGGTACTTCCTTGGGTGTATGTTCTATGGATGTAAACTCCCAGTTAATCAGTTAAGTTCAACCAGTTAACCAATTAAGCAGAGGTGCTGCTCCAGCCAGGCGAGGGCTGGACAGGCTGGAATGCCCTCCACTCGCAGTGGGTCCTACTGGGCTGGTGATGTTTACCAGGTAACCGGTTAACCATTCATATCTCTAATATGTGCCATTATGGCAGTAGTTCACTTGTGTATTGTTAAGAATAGAATCCGATCACAATTGACACTCCTTTGTTGAAGAAAAAATTGCTGTATAACTGCAGAAAATGGTCTATGCTTCTTTTTAAAGTCAGTACCCATTGGATAGCTGAAAATGGTTTGCATCGCTATGTTAGAATCTAAGATATGTTTGTCAAATTGTGTATTTGACCTGTGTATTAGGTGGAGATTATCATCATACTTGAGGATCATCTTCCCTCAGACCAGTTTTTCTTGAAGGATTTCTTGCTGGCTCTTTATTCAGCTGACCTGTTTCTGATGCCTATTACAGTGTCTTATATAATCACATTTTCTGGACCAAAAGTCTGGCCTAACTCTTGAATTTTGCCAATTAGAAGGAATATGTGGTGTTCTCTACATGTATCTACGTTGTAGCACAAATCTTACATTATAATCCTCTTGAAGACCTAATTGGCCATACGTTTTAACTGTTTTCCACCTCATACATTTTCCCCCATAGTTCTCCTACGTGCTGCTGTGGATGGGTGATTTGGATGCTCTCTGATTCTTTAGGCTGAAACGTCCTTTAACAGTTTTTGTTTCTTCATTACTGTACAATTTATGTATTTGTGGAGACAGAATTTTGGGCTTTGTTTTTTAAGAGGAAAATTCCAGTTCATATGGAATTTGCATTTTTCTTTCTCTGAAGATATCACTGAACTAGATTCTCATTCACCTGTCACTCTTCCCTACAATATTGATAACGATAAGAAATATTTTCAACAACTAAAATTTTTAATGGCCATATTCTGTGGACTTCTCTGATGCTTAGGTTTTGGGGAACTCTTAGGTTACTGAAACTCACTCTCTCACACACACATATATAGAGGTTTAGGCAATTGATTTTAGAGTGAGGATTGTGACTTGAAGCTACGTCTACACTGCAGAGGTTTTTTTTTGGAAAAACAGCCGTTTTTCTGAAAAAATTTCACATTTGTACACATTGCAATTATGTTCTTTTGAAAAAAAAACAAAAGAACGGAGGGTTTTTTTCCAGCATTGGTAAACCTCTTTCTACAAGGAAGAAGACTTTTTCCTAAAGAGCTCTTTAGGAAAAAGGAGTGTGTGGATGGGGAAGAGGGAATTCTTTCCAAAGAAGAGGAAAAGGCATGGGTGCCTTGGTGGCCACTCCACCCATAGTTATCATAGCTTAAATGAGAGAGAATGTCCATTTAGTGTGGATGCTATCTTTCGAAAAAGCAGATTGCTTTTTCTATGCGCTTTGGCAGTGTGGATGCTCTCTTTCGGAAGAAGTTTTTTCAGAACATCTCTTCCAGAAAAGCTTCTTCCGAAGCTTAGTCTAGATGTAGCCAGAATGAAAATGTTTTAAATTGTAAGGAAGTTCTGACCTGTCTTGTCCTAGGGAGTCTGGATTCAAGATCAGAAATCTAGTGAAATGATATCTTGAGTGAGGAAGAATGTTAAAACACAAGCTGTTGCCTTTGGGCCTGTGCAGTCCTTTTGTGTGCATTAAGATAACTATATTTGCATAATGGGAATGTAACCTGTGCTTGAGTAATATGAAGTCATACCTATTACAACACTTTTAAGATAAGTTAATTTTTAAATTCTAGAAACATGTTTACAGTTAACTTATTTTTATTTCTTTACAGGATGGCCTGAATTCTTTGGTCCTTGATCTGGATTTTCCAGCGCTGAGGAAAAACAAAAACATAGATAATTTCTTAAATAGATGTAAGTTGCACTTAAACATGTTTCATGTTGTCATGATTGTAAGATAAATAGTCTTTTAAGTTGATTGTTCAGAAATACTATACACTACTCATGTGGGCTTTGCTAATCACCACAGAACAGAGCTTGCTTTCTAAAACAGCATTCCCTTCTCAATAGCTACTTGAGAGCCAATTGCTATTGTGATATTTCATTACTCTTACTAATGTGTTGCAAAGTATTTAACAGTATACAATCAATACTAAAGTGTTATCAAGACCAAAACAATACTAGTCAAGTAAGTATTTTTATGATATATGATCCTTACTTTATTTTATCTTTTGTTTAAATGCTAGTGGTAATTCTCAAGTTTTGCGGTTGTTAGTGAGGTTCTTTTGTAATCTGCAGAAAAGATGTAATTACTCAAAATGGCATACACTGTCTTGTAAATAATTAATGAAATTGTACTATTGATTTAATTCAGAAATGTCATATTACTATTTCTCTAATGGATTTTAAAGTATGGTTGTTTAGCCATGTAAATACATTTACTATGCCTGTCTATTAAGCCACATGAAAACATAGCTGTCTGTCTATGCAAGGAAAATTTTCCCAAAAAATCAGTCTTGTTTTAAAACCTGTTGGATCTTCAGTATAGACCAGGATGTGCTGGCTGAGGCAGTTTTTATAGCTAGTTTAGTTGAAACTGTTTTCTAAACTAGAAATCAAGCTTGTTGGGGGAAAATTTGCAGCTACTCTGGAGATACCCGCTCCTTTCAAATTAAGCATCTTGTAAAAGGATGCATAAGCCAGGGAATAACAGGAGAAAACATAACTTCATTAATGTTTGCAAAGATCTGGGAAACAAACATTTTGTTGGTTGTGGGTCCCTTAAGGATAGCGTAGCCTAATGGTCTGTCCACCCCATTATGTGGCATGGCCCTTTAAGAGAGATTGAAAGATCTGATAATACAAACCTCTGGCAGAGAGGAAGCAGTACTGGGGGTAAGAAGCATCCAGGAGGAAATCCCATTACTCTTTCTTTGGACTTGTCTACACTAGGAAATTATTTCAAAATGATTTATTTTGAAATAATAACTTTGGAAATAACAATTTTGAAATCTTCTTTCCTCAGAGAATAAGCTTGAGTACAGATTTTGAAATAACCAGCCCCTTACTTTGAAATACCTGGCTTGGTAGTGTGGATGCTCTGCTTATTATTTTGAAATAAGGGGGGTTATTTAGAAATAACTCCCTAGTGTAGACCAGGGCTTTAAGAGTCTAAGATTGGGAGCTTTATAGCAAGGGTGGGGCTCCCCTTTCACACAACCAATTGGGGATGACCTGGGAGAAGGGTACTAGCATAAACGTTTTAAAACCAGGAATTTTAAAAATAAAAAAGCTGGTCTGCTAAGCAACATAAAGCACAAGTGGCTAACTGAGGCAGAAGCTGGTAAAGGTCCCACAGTTGGCTAATAAACATCTCAAGTTCCAGAGAGGGGATCTGGGAGCTCCTGTTAAAGGAAGCACTAGAAAAATCTGACTCCTAGAACCCAGCTGCATGGAGGAGAACTGGGAAGACTCCAGGATAGGGAGAAAGTGTAGAACTAAGTAGTACAGCCCTGTTCTAAAGAGAAGAGATGAGGATTCTTGCTTAAGGAAGGACTGGAGAGATGCACCCCAAGAAAGAAACACAAAGAGTTCCTGGGCCAGAGACTGTTCTTTGGCCTGTGTTGTGAGAAACATAACTAATAGTATGCTTAACCACTTGACAGTTACAGAATCTCACAGGTATATCCTGGCAAATTTTACCTGCTTTGCTGGGATATGTGCTGGATACTTTAACATTTCACTCTCATCAAAAGAATATTAGTGAATGGTGACAGCCCAGCATGTGGCAGCGGAGTAAAAGTCTGAAAGGTTTAAGGTTGTCATGATGGCTTTTTACAAATCACAAGAAACTTTTTAGCAGTTAAAGCATATTTTTTAACACATTAGGTAAAACACAGCTTGAAATAAGACTAGTGCTAGTTTTCACATTTAAGGGAAGATAATTCAGCTGTTTACCAAAAAATACCAAAACCACTGGAGTTATGGCTTTTAAGCCCAAGCAAATGGGTTTAAAGGCAATGCAGAAATTAGTTGAAAATTTTTAACATTTGTGTTCAAATTGTTTGTTTTAAACTGAAAATATCACCAGAGATATTCACACATTGCTCCAGATCTGTCTATATGACATTATTCTTGAAACTTTTTTTAGATGAGAAAATTGTGGAAAAAATTCGAGCTTTACAAATGAAAGCTGAAGACTATGATGTTGTTAAGGTGATTGGAAGAGGTGCTTTTGGAGAAGTACAGTTGGTAAGAATGTCTACTCATTATCTGATTACTACTTGTCAGCTAGATTTATTGTATCAACTTGATACTGTTAGTGTATCTTTTAATGAAAAGTATGCAAATGTTCAAAAATTGATACTGGTTATTTTAAGTTTCTTCTTGTAATCTACTGTCAAATTCCTTCTTAAATATAAACTTTTTGACGAAGAAACCCAAGGATTAAAATATTGAAGTTGAAATTCTATGTATATACTATATTCTCCAGGTTCTTTCTTGTGCTGAAGCGTAGCAGTATATTAAACATCTTAAAATGAGACCTCTAAAGTACATAACCACAATGGTGGATTGCCAGGGAAAGAATTGAAAGTAGCTTCCCTTACCTGCGTCAGCTTCAGTGTGTTATATGCGTGTCAGTTATGTTTTTTTTTCTTTGCTACAAATGGTCAGTGTGTAATAATAACCGTATCAGAAAACCTCCTTGGTGGTAAAGTACTAATAGGGTAACAAGAAGGTTTTCCCCCACAGATTTTTCTTGTCCCTTGTACCAAGAGCAATAGTTTTATAATACATTCAATTATTCTTATTTACATACAAGATTTGTATTCCCGATTTCTTGTCTGAATTTTTATTTTTAATTTAAAAATCCAAAGTTTGTTTTCAAGTTATATTACCTAATATAAAATACCTGTTTAGAAATTTACAAAAAGATGACATTACATTGAGAGAGCCCCTAAACACTCCATCTGCTCATTTGGGCTATCCATTGTTTCCTTGGCAATTGATTTTGACGTGGTCAAAGCTGCCAAGTAATGTTGTAGGATAAATCAATAATTTTAAAATTAAAAGGTGTGTGTGTGTGTGTGTGTGTGTGTGTGTGTGTGTGTGTGTGTGTGTGTGTGTGTGTGTGTGTGTTCACTGACTTTTCATTGTAAATATAATAGATGTAGGACCAGCTGGGATCTGTGTTGAAATGTGCTTATAAATTTTATAGCTTTGTAATAGTTATTTCTAAGAAAAAGAAGGAAAACATATTTTTGCTCTTTACCAAAAAACACTTCTCTAAGTAGTTACAAAATAACACTTCAAGAAAGGATGTAGAAATACTTAGAAGCTTCAATGAAATTTGATACTTAGTCCATTTTTAAAACTAAAGCTGATGAAATAATAAAACAGAGCCAAGAAAATTATCCAGAGTATTTTAATAATAGAATGCTGAAGAAAAACAGGGCAAGCCCATAAGGCTTAGGAAAACTTTTGTTGTTTGTATTGCTGGTTTCCTCTGCAGCAGTCGTTTTGGTCCAGGCTGGATTAATTTTCAAAGAGAAATAGTGTAGCTTTAATATATCTTGACCAGTAAAGACACATTTGGACTGTTTAATGTAATTAGAAAAAGGTTTTATCCTCTATCTCTACACTTAGTGTGATTGATTTATTGCTCCTCTAATTAGATATTAGATTCCTCATTACAGTTACCCTAACTTAAAAAGAAGTTTTGCAGTTTAAATAGAATAAAGCTTTTTGGATAATGTCTTGCATACAAAATATGCCTAAAATGCTTTCCAAAGTGAAATAATAGTTTGGAAGATAAATGGGAAAGAAAAAAAATAGCAACTGTAACAATATTTGCATGACTCATGGGTAACTTGCAAGTTTGGATGTGATTCATGTGAATAACATGAAAAAGCAGTGGGGTTTTTTGTTTTTGGCAAGGTCATCCTCCTCTGACAATGTGGGAGTGCAGTTCTTGCACACTCTACCTCTAAGTGAACTATGCTTAGCTTCAGGAGAGTTAATAGAGAGCCCACAGAATATAGGCATCTCCAGGGATAGCCATCTATCATCAGGGCTTTGAAGATGCATTTTTGAAATTGAGTTACCTGTCTGTTCTTAGTGATAGAATAAGAGAAGCTGCAACTTGGGGCCCTGTTTGTTAGAAGAGGAGCTGCTGCAAAGAATTTTATAAGGTGAAAACTCCTTGCAGGCTTCCTTTCTGTCTGTCTTCTACTACCAGTTCCTGTATCAAGTGTTTCTTTTGTTCCATAATTGCAAGTCAATATAATGGTTTTCTGGTGATACGCATTTTAGTAGTTAAATTCCTGGACTGTCATTGCTCATTAAAAGTGCTGTCATATGGGTGGAAATCAGGTAAATATTGCATTTTATTAATATCATCAGAACTAACTTAAATGGGGTTTGCATGTTGTGTAGTCTTGCCTTAATCTTTGTATTCATGCCCGTCGGTATAAAAAGTGATTTGCATATATATTTGCATGTATATGCAACCACATTTAAGTTGCAGCCCTTGGCATGTGCTGGGAGTATCATTGTGAGCCCCGGGGCTTCCAAAGTTCAGTTGACTAGTCCTTGACATTCTTAGTCTCTACCAGCTTGAAACTTCCTTTAGGAAACTAACTGTGGCTCCTTCTCTATAGCAGCTTTAACTAATTTTACTTCTTTATTACATCAGCAGCAAGGCCTGTGATACTTGTGTAACGCCCTTTTTCCTCCCTGGGTTATTCGGGAGCAGGTCACAGGTGTGCCTGGGCGCCTGATGGCCTTGACATAAGAGATTCTGAGTACCCCAGTAGTGATGTTGTTTCGTTGGGGAAAACCTATCCACCCCCTTGCTGCAGTCTCTTGCTAATGAAGAATGTACAACAACGGTGGCTCCACCTGGCTGGCCTTGTACACACTTACTGGTGTGCCTTGAGAGCCTCCAGGAATAAACTCATTCCAGCAATAATCTGGATCTAATTCCAGAACAACAACTACAAATTATATACATCTAATAGATTACATTAAAATAAACAATATTTACTTAACTTAAATAAACAGGGTTTAACAGATTAACATGAATAACAATGAATAAGTGCACAACAATAATTGGAACTTATATATCTAGCATTTGCACTGCCAATATTGATCCCACCCCAGAGTGTGCACACCCCAGAGTCCCAGACTCTTGCTTGTGTGGGTGTGCTTGAAGAGCTCCAGCTGTAATGGAGATTCTCTGTAGGTAGTGTGTATGAGGGTCCAAGCTATGTAGCAGCTCTGTCCCAGGCAGCACTTTCCTAAAAATGCCCAATTACTTACAGTCTCATGCTGTGCCTATCAGAAGCAGCCTGCTAGATCCCAGTTCCAAAGGCATCTAGTCCCAGTCTGTAGCTGCACTCTAACAGTCCCTGGATTGGATCAAACTCCTCCACAGCAGCCTGGCTCCCCTTCTGTTCCAAAATCCAAGAGCAAAGTCCTAGACTACTAGACCTCTCTTCTCATGCAGGTGGAGAGACCCCCCATCTCCCACATAAGTCACTTCCTTCCTGTTTTTCCCAAGGGCTCATGGGAATTGTAGTCTTTGATGCTAGATTGCAGCATACAGGGTCTTCCCAGAAAATAAGCAGAGGCACCTTTAGTAAGGGGACTACACTTGAAATTACTTTCAAAACCTTTCTTCATCCTAGGACTTTAAGTTTCTTTCTTTGTGGAAAAAGCGATTTAGAGCAGTCGTATAATTTCCTCAAACTGTAGATTACCTTTTGATACAGTCATTGGGAGTTGTCTTCAGGGCGCATGTTATGTGATGGCAGAATGTGTCTTGGAGAGACTTGTCTTCTAAAACACCATTAATTTGTTTTACAGTAACTGTGATGCATTAAGAAAGCATACATTAATCATACTAGCTTTTAGTGCATCATAGTAAAAGGAAGTAAACTTGACAAATTTCCCCCTATATTAGTATTTTGGTATAGGGGCTGATTAATCTCCTGTGAAGCTGTGCTGCCATGCAGTTTAGTGGGAACACTGGTGCCTAAACAAATGTTAGCACCTCGATGAACATACAAACATATATACATGCTGCTTTTGAGGAAACAGCTTAATAATTCATCTCAGATGTCTTTAACTTAGTTGCTTCACTGATGGCAACTAATATTGATACTACAAGAAAGGTCTCCCCTAGGTCATTTTGAGCACAAGGCCTGCTCAGGACAAAGCAAATGTTTGGATATGTCATTGCCACGTTTATTGATTGTCTTGAGGTGTTTCTGTTCAATGCTGACTGAAGTATTGGATGCATCCTGCACTTTTTCTCAGGACATTTTTTAGCTACCTGATAATTGGATACCACCAGCCCAGTCAGTGGGACTGATTCTTGTCTCCATTCACACTGCTTTGTAGTGCACATGTGCTACATAGGATCTGGTTTCTGTCTGTAATCATCTAATGGAGAATTTCTTTAGTGGCAGGAAATTTTTTTTTGGGCATTAAGTCAGCTAGCTGTGCATGCCACCCACTCCCAGAACTGCTACTCTTCTCCCTCCCCCCCCCCCCCCCCCCCCACTAGTGAGTGATTCCTTAGGGATCATAAGCTGGTGGCAAGTGTTAACCATGACTTTAGGCAGTTTTTTCTCAATGCTTCTGATGAGCATGTTTTTCACTAAGGGCCTCTCTGCCAATATTTCATCTGCAATTGAGCAAAGGATCTATGGATGTTCTGGTTTATGTAATATAATTTTCAGTGCCTCCAACTTGTTTCACAATGTTGATACAAGTTGAATCTCCCTAGTCTGGCACCCTCAGGACCTGACTGATCCTTGACCAGGGAATTTGTCGGAACAAGGGAGGTCAGTGCACCAGGGGCTCTGCTTTTTCTCCTTGGCTGTCCCACTGCTGCCTGGGGCTTTGCTCTCCTGGGCAGGGAGGAAAGGGGGGGAACTGTTTTTCCCCTCACAACTCTGCTGCCACTTGGGTCTACTTTTTTCCCCACGACTCTGCTGCCACTTGGGGAGCGGGAGCTCTTCGCTCCCCCCAGTGGTTCCTGCTCCTACCTGGGGTACCATGCTCCATCTAGCAATTCTGCTGCAGTTAGGGGCTATCCTCAGAGGCCCCACTGCTGCCCAGAGGTCTGCTGCTGCCATGAGCTCTCTCCCTAGCTGGCCTGCCGCCAAGAACTCCCTGCTCTGCCTGGTGGCTCTGCTGCCTCTCAGGGCTCCACTCTCTCAACCCCGTAGGCTGGCAACACTCAT